TATATATATATATATATATATATATATATATATATATATATATATATCACACACATCTATTTCTGTGTATTTGTGTGTGTTTGTGTGGTTGTATGTGATTATGGGCACATCTAAGTGCAGAAATGCTCGAGTGTAGATGAGGGCACTGGATCCCCTGGAGCTGGTTTTAAAGATGCGAGCCACCTAAACATGGATGCTGGGAGCCAAACTTGCGTCCTCTGCAAGAGCAGCAAATGTTCTAAACCACTGAATCATCTCTCTAGCTCCCTGTTCCCATTTGTATCAGGACCCTCTTCCTGCCTGGCCACAGTGTCTCTCACTTATGATCCCCCTCCATCAGCAACCTGACAAAGTCTCCAGCCCGACCAATGCCCAAGTATTCTCGGTCCCATCCTGACAGGGTTCATGGAGTCCAGGACAGCACTGTTTCTACAGGGTGCTTGTAGCTTTTAGAGGTAAAAGCAAATTAAGAGGAGAGCACACACAGAAATCACCATCTTTGACAAACCATAAGACAATTCTTCTTCAAATGATATGTGCACAACATTGAAAACATTAGGAAGAACCTGGGCAATGTTACTACAGTATGAATGTGAGCCACGGTAGCTAATCGGTAGAACGTGAGCATGTGCCTTGGTTCTGCTTCTGCTAGCCTGGGGACTGGACAGATGGTTCAGTGGACCCAGGTTTAATTTCCAGCACTCACATGGCAGCTCACAACCACCTGAGACTCCAGCTTCCGGGGATTCCAGTGATCCTCCTGCCTCAGCCTCCCAAGCAGCTACCTAGGATGACACCCATGGGCCACCGCTCCCAGCTATATACACCCACATTGGTTTTACAAGACAGGGTTTCTCTGTGTGTGGCTCTGGCAGTCTTGGACTTGTTTTGCAGACCAGGCTGGCCTTGAATTCAGAGATCTGCTTCCCAAGTGCTGGAATTAAAGACGTGCACCACCATGCCCAGCTGTGAATTATATTTTCAATGACAATTTCAATGACTTAAAGACAGAAACCAAAAATTCTATTTTTAAGTGAGCAAGACTTAGATTTTTTTTTCAAGACAGTGTTTCTCTGTGTATCCTTGCCTGTCCTGGACTTGCTCTGTAGACCAGCCTGCCCTTGAACTCACAGAAATCCACCTTCCTCTCCCTCCCAGAATGCTGGGATTACAAGTGTGTGCCACCTTACCTGGCTAACAAGATTTAGATTTTATTCTTTTGTCCCTTTAACAAATAATAAAAAAAAGAGTTCATGTATGTCAGAAACTTCTAATAGGCCATTTGGCTCAAATGTTTGGTAGGTTTTAGAGTCAAGACTTCCAGGACAGAAACAACCATAAGAAATGGGTCATTCTAAGCGACTCCCCATGTCCCAGTGCCCTTGGGGCATATTTAAGTGATCCTGACAGCAGGAGACCATCTTGATCACAGTACCCCACTCCATGTAAGGTAATCAAGGGCTGAGAAAGCCTCAGAAATACAAAGACAGCTCCTGAACCAGTGTAGCCTGGAGCCCACTTCCCTGTCGCAGCTGAGAAGAGGGAAAGGCCAGAAGCCAGTTCTGACCATTGGGGTTGTCAGCCCTTCTGGGGTAAAGCCAGTGTAGTCTATGCTTCCCACTCCTACTTTCCTGCCACTGAACCCTCAGCGCACACTCTCACCGTGGCAGTCAGCATAGTCCCCATGCCCGGGTGTGTAGTATCTGCACAGCCGGCTCAGCAGCAGACGGTAGTGCACAAGCCTCTGGACGGGCTTCACCAGGAACGTGTTGAGAGGCAGGTAGCAGACCTTCTGGAGCTCGAACTCCTTGTAGACTGCCTCCAGCTTTTTATACTGTTTTGTGGCCTTTTCCAGTTCTGTTAGGACCTCATCATGTCTCTGGAAGTAGCTAGTAAACTCCTAATGAGGCACAAAAGGCGAATGTGTAGGTAAAGACATGCTGGGAGTGGAGTGGAGTGTCAGTGAGAAACAGCTCGCCTGCCTGGGCAGAATCCCCAGGGTGTACTTCTCATAATAGCTGGGAATGCTGACAGGGCACAACAGGGATGAAGAGTGTGGTATGTACAAGCCAGAACATCTGTTTCCACAGAATTCCATCTTTTCCTGTCTAAGAATCTACCCCGGAGTGTACCGCAGTCCATTCCCAGGGGTCAGGGCTCCTTCACAGCTGGTCCTCACACAGCCACTGCTGAATGGTCCTTCCCAGCAGTCTTATGTGCTTGAGGGCCACAAGCCTTTACTCAATTTATGGATAAAGAACCAACCTCAGAGGCTAGGAGAACTAGAGCTCATCTTATGGGCACACTGAGCTCTGGGCAAGAGATAACCTGCAGTTGAGCCCTGCCCTGGTGCAGTGCCGACTCGGTTATTGGAGAGACAAGGGAACTATGTTTTGGGAAATTCTGTCCTGAAAAGATGATATTCTGAAGGGATTCCTAGGCTGAGGGGTACCCTGCTGTAAAGGTAACAAAGCAAGCAGGGGATTTTGTTTCAGCCATTGGGTTCTGAAGAGAGTTCTGTACTGGATAAAAGCATGATTTGAGGGCAATCCTGTTTGAGAGTAATGCTATGCTGAAAATGTGTTCTGAAGATCACGGCTCTAGAAGGAATGTTGCTCTGAGGGTGGCTGTTTTGATGGGAGCCCAGTTTATAGGACCCTGTCCTGGGGGTTAGGAACCTATGGGAAAGAGGCAGCTCTGAGGGAACCTCCTCTAAGAAGACCTCTATGATGAAGAGACTCTCTTGTGAGCATAAGTCTCTTAGGGGAATCATGCTCTGAGAGTCCCACTCTGAAGGAAATCCCTCCCAGGAACCCCTGAGGTGGGCTATGTTTTTATTGGGATACTGTTGAGACAATGCAGAGATTAAATGTAGAACCTTGTTCAGGGGACAGTTTTGAAAAGAATTTTACTCTTCAGAGTCCTGTGCCGAGTGGAGAGTTGAGGCACACGCTGTGCTGTCCTTGATCACCCTCTTCTGATCACCCAGCTGCAGGGAGGGGAAGAGGAACCTGTTCTTGGGAATGCTGCTGTGAGGGGAACACTGTTATGAGAACACAGACGTGCTTTCACTCAAAGCTTCACTCTAGGTCTGGAGTAGCCTGTCTTGTTCACATGCACAACTTTAAGCTAGGCCTGTCTTACCTTTAACTGACACATATTCCTGAGGAGAATGTCCCCAATCCGTTGATGATCATCTTTTAAGTGGGTACTGGGGGGTCCTTCCCTGCATTTAGAGGAACAAGAAGGTTTATAAATCCCATGAAAGCTTATGGGAAATACCATGATTTTATGGTAAAAGGTTGCTGTAATCATAGCCATTTTTTTGAGATGGGGTTTGAATATGTAGTTGAAGTTGGCCCCACATGTGGTTCTCCTGTCTCTGTCTACCTAGAGCTGGAATCATCGGCATGTGTCATTATACTATACCTAGCTGTCACAGCCATGAATGATGAGGTGTTCTGAGATGGAAAAAATTTAAACAGACAGCAACAATTAAATATGATGGTAACCAGGTGAAAACTGATTATTTTTTATAAAACTTGCTCCTATTCTCTTTTCTGGAATAGGATAAACGAATTTGTTGTTATTAAAGTTTATTCTGTCTGGCCCAATAGAGATCTGCAGTACATGTCAATAAAATAATGGTTGTTCTGAATTAGTTTCTGAAGATGGGGATTTCCTGCATCAAGTGGCAGTGTCAAAGGAAGGGGCTACCCAAGGAGAGTTCAGAACTCGGAGACTGCATGTATAGACATCCCACCCAAGGTGCCACCAGAGTGTGCAGCAGAGGTCTAGGAAATGGGAGCCATCCATTTGGACATTTCAGTTTCCTGTGGAGGGGGTCAAACAAGCACTACCACCAGGCACACCATTTTTACCAGAGTGCCAGCCTCTGCTCCACCTCGTGCAGGAAGCCTCTGTGGAACTCGTAGACTGGATCGATGTTGGAGAAAAGCAGGGTCATCAGGGTTGCAGGCATGGCATCCTCCTTGACCACCATACTTCGAAACCACTACGGGGGGGGGGGGGGGTTTGGTATGATGAGAGGCTCAGCTGGGGACTAAAAGGCCAGGCCCCTGAGGGCTTGTGACCTCATCTTACCAAGCAAAGTTCCTCCAGTTTTTAAAGACAGCTTTATAAATAAGTGTTCCAAGTATTCTCTTTGTTGACTGTATAGTTTTCAAATATAAACAAAACAATTCTAGGTCAAAGTTTTCAGATGGATATTTTAAGCTTTACAGCTTCATAAGACAAGACATCAGCATTCCTTTTTGTTTTGTTTGTTCTTGTTTTTGCAGACAGGGCTTGTCTGTGTAGCCCTGGATGTCCTGGACTCACTCTATAGACCAGGCTGCCCTTGAACTGCCTCCCTCTGCCTCCTGAGCGCTGGAATTAAAGGTATACACCATCACTGCCTGGAAAGACATCAGCGTTTTAACATGACTCAGGCATCATGCTGTAAAGCAAATACACTCAATAGAATTTACATAACTAGGTCTCAAGATTGTCAAATATATTTTTCAGGATGGAGCATCTGTGTGTATATCCAAAACATATTAAGAAAATAAAAGAGATAAAGGGCTAAGTTTTCATACCACAGTAATAACTTCTAAATCCTTCAGATATGTTCGTTCTGTAGCAAGGATCTCCTTGGCAATGAAATAGGCCTCATCTTCTGGCATGTGCTGAAAGAGGCAGAGAGAACCATAAGTGTATTTCTGGGGACATGTTGCCCTTTCACATTCAGGGAGAGCCTGAGGTTTATAACATGTTCTGCTCAAGCTTACAGCATTTTTGGAAAATCCTGTCAAAATTCCTAAAGGGATTGACTGTAAAAGAAAGATTCATTTTATTAGGATACGGTATGCCTGAATGTATGTTTGTGTACTGCATGTGTACAAGTACCTGCAGAGGCAAGGAGAGGTCACTAGATTTCAGTTACAAGTGGTTGTGAACCACCTGATGTAGGTGCTGGGAACTGAATCTGAGTCCTCTGCAAGAGCAACAAATGCTCTTAACTGCGTAGCGGTCTCTCCAGCCTGGAGATTTATTTTTCTCAATATCTCCCCTTAAAATATGTTATTATTTATAGAAAATGATAGCTATTCAAATGTTAGTGTATGTAAATATAACTGAGACTTATTAGTTTTGTAATGAAGTTATGTTCCTCTTATCACTGCCATTGCTGAAGCTGGTTAACAGACATAAAACAATGAGGGTATGTTTAAACATGTATGCATATGATTAAGGGCTGGAGAGATGGCTCAGTGGTTAAGAGCCCTGGCTGCTCTTCCAGAGGACTCAGGTTCAAATCCCAGCACCCAAATGGTAGCCCACAACAACCTATGACTCCAGTCCTAGGAGAATCTGACAGCTTCTGTGGGTATTACATGCACATGGCACACATATATCCATGCAGATAAAATACCCATAAACATAAAAATAAATAAAAACATGTATTTATATGATTAAAAAATTGAACTTGGGCTAGAAATACTCAATATAAAAAATAAAATTGAAAATTAAAAAAGAATTAAACTTACCTCATTAAAACAACAACAAAAACCACCACTACCCATATCAACAAATCAAGAAACAAAAAATTAAAAAAAAAACCTACCAGTATATATTCTGAGTGTGCCTATGACAGTGCTGCGCTAGCTGATACACTTCCTGAATGTGGAAACAGACCCCAATCCAACTCCAGGCTTGGCTGTCAGCAGCCTCCCTTATGCATGCTAGCATAAGACCTGAGGTGGATCTGTCTGAGAGGTTTGTGAATCTTCATCAGGGCGTCTGTGTAGTGTACAAGTGCAACACTCCAAGTCAGAGAATGGATGCAAACCCTGGCAGAACACAGTCGTGGGGAGTACAAAGTGGAAAAGGCTGAAGGCCAGGAAGCATATGGTCAGGTCACAAACTCACTTGGAGTAGACAGAATGGGCCAGCAAAAAGGTGACAGTCAAGGAACAGAAAGTGATGTGAGATAGTAAAGGGCCCTCTGGTGCTCTGGAGTGAATGCACTGTGACATGCTTGTATGCAGGAAACCAGCACAACTGGAGGGGCAGACAGGAGTCTCAAGAGGCCTCTTTACAAGTCCAACGAGATGGTACCTGTGTGAATGTGCTGTGTGACGGACAGAGGCAGCAAGAAGGACTGCAACAAATTCTGGCCTAAGCCAAGGGACATATCAGCTGGTGAAAAGGCTGAGGTAGTTCTGGGAGGAAGAAGAGAGACTGAGTTGGCACCAAAATATGCAAACTCAGTTGCATACGCTTCATGGGCCATATAAGGAAAAGTGGCCAAGGGCATCCCACTGGAGGCCCATGTTTAGGGACTGTATCTTCTCTTCTGTGGCCTTGATTTAGTTCAAGACAGGCTGCCATTCTCTCCCACAGTCTCTAGAATAAAGGAGTAATGAGGTGTGTTTCTCTTGGAGCCCACAGAATAGTGGCTGCAAAGGTAGTACCCTCTACCATAAGAAAGATGTACCAATGTCCTCCAAGAGCCCAGTGCTGCCATCCTCTCCCCAGAAGCTATGTATAAAACCTATCAGCTCTTCTCAAACGACTGGCAGCAATATGATAAGCCCTGGTCCCTGCTTCTACCTCTTGATCTCTTCATGTTGTTCCTGGAGTGTGGCCCTTTCCCCAGCAGAGCAACTCACTTTGCTAACCTTTCACATTTTATTGTATTCTGTGCCATGAAACATTAAAAAAAAAAATTCAAACCCAATGACATCTTTAAGGAAAGTCTTACATCCCCTGGCTTGACATTTGTATGTCATAAACTTCCAGCAGTGAGAGCTGGCCTAAAGACTCTCACATCTATGGTGTGGTGACTCAGCCTTGCACTCAGGACAGAGGTTCTTGATGCTCACTTTGCTCACTACTGACCTTGGCCTAGAAAAAGCACCAGTTCGAGGGAGATGGCCTACTAACTGCAATTCTGTCTGAGGCCCAAAAGCACATCTTAATTCTATGTGCTATGGATACAGGTCCCCAGAGTCCCACTCTTCACCCATGTGACAGAAAACGAGCCAAAGCACCATCCAACAGCATCAGTGAGAACGATCTTTCCAGGTGCCACTGGTAGTGACACGGCACTAACTGCTCTGCCACTGTACTTTCAAAATTACCAAATCAAACCCAAGCGAGCTGACATGCTGGTCAGGGATAGAAGGATGGTGAGGGGGCAGCCTAGGGGAGATAGCACCTCTGCTTGTTTTTGCCACCTCTCACCAGGATATTACCGTCTCCAAGACCCATACAAAGAAAAATACTTCGACCATCGTTTGGCAATCCTACCTTATGAATATTGTTGCTTTCACCAACCACTATTACAAAGGAATAAAAAGACTGCAGGAAGTGGGGCTGGAGAAATGGCTCAGTTATTAAAACACTGGTGGTTATTCCAAAGGACTAGGGTTCAATTCCCAGCACCAACATGGTGGCTCACAAACAATGTAATTCCATTTCCAGGGGATTTGATGCTCTCTTCTTGCCTTTGTAGTCACTGCACATATGTGGTACATATACACATATGCAGTCAACATACTCACTTACATAAAATACAATAAAAATATTGCATAAAGTACAAAACAGTGCAACCAAGGGAAACAGGCTGGTCCCTCCTCCCAGCAGCAGGCTTGCAGGGCCATGCATTCCTTATTTTTCCACACAGCTGAGCAGCTAGATAAAAACTTGAGCAGGCCTAGGAATGGATGGGGGTATTCCATCTTTAACTCATGCCCATATGTACAACAAATTGGAACATACATTGTCCAGATCCTCCAGGAGAGTCATCAGTGGCTTCAGTTTATAGTATCAGAAGAGGAGAGATTCTGGAGGAAAGCTACTCTATTTTTGACTCAAAACCAGACTTTGCTCAGTGACTCTGGCAGGCCTGTGAGAGATTGGACTGTCTGTACTGCCACACTTACCCATGCTTGATTCTGGCTTTATTAGGTAGACTAGCTATGCAGGGCTGTCCAGACCAGAGCTGAATACCAAAGGGCTGATGCAAATCTCTCTCAGTGGTAAAGCAGCTATCACCTCCTGGAAAGCATGTCTCTGTGAAGGCTAAAGGTGGTCTTTCCCCAGAGGGTTTAGGAAGGTCTTGCCTGCATGCCTCCAGAATAGCTGCCTTTTAACTGTCTCCCCCTCTTCTGGTTCAAAGGACTGCTCCCAGACAAGATGGGGGTCCTACAGGATCCCTGGGCACAGAGAAAGGAGTTTCCTGCATCACACCTTGTGGAAATGGGTCCTGTCCTACCTGCTGAGGGGCCTCAAATGTCCCATAGGCCCTGCTTTCCTCTGGGTAATTCAGGCTAAAATATTGCTATACTTTGGATTTGGACTGTCCCTGAAATGTCTACATGTAAAAGTCCAACTCAGCACTATGGAAAGGGGGTGAACTCCAGGAAGTAAGACCCACATTGGGACATTGGGGGCAGGTGTGTCCTCAAAGGGATTAATGGGTCTGCATTCCCTTTTGTCTTTCAGGCCCTGGCCATGAAATAAATGGTTCTGTTCCATCACAAGCTCCTCCCATCAAGATATGTGTTGCTCTATGGCCCAAATAGCAGAGCATCAGGCCATGGGCTAAAACCACCAACATTGTGAGACAAAATACAATTTGCAACTTCATAAATTTGATCTGTCAGGTGTCTCTGTATAGTTACAGATAGCAAATACAGACAGGAAGCTTAGGCACTATAAGAACAGCACTTTTCAGAGCTGGGCAGTGGTGGCACACACCTTTAAACCCAGTACTCAGGAAGTAAGGCAGGTGGGATCTCTGAGTTTGATGCCAGCCTGGAACTGCAGAGGAAGCTCTAGAACAGCTAGGACTACACATACAAACCATGTCTTGAAACACCAAAAAAGAATAGCACTTTTCTGTCATAGTACCTGAGACAGGTCCCACCTACTCAGCCCCTATTACCCACCTGGCTGATGCTCAAATCCCCTACTTCATCCTGTTGTGATCTCCTAAGAGATCACACTACTGGCTTTCTGGTTCTAATAGTGAGGTCCACTCTCTTCCCAAACCTTTCTTGTTTGATTGCCTGCAAAGCTGTAACCCCAGGTTGGCTATCTTAAGGCAAACTGGTTGCCCCTGGCACCTATGAGTAAGTTGGACCTGCTTGGTCATTCTCTACTGCATATTCAAAATGTGCCCTCACTGCGGAGACCTAAAAGTGCACTGATAACCTTCTGCCATCAACCCTATGTCCTGCCATGAAGCCCAGGACCTTCTGCTTCAGCTACCACTACCTCTAATGTTGGCCAGGTTCCCTTCTCACCTCTGAAGTCCCACTCAAGATCCTCCTGAGCCCCAAACAACCTTCCTTTTGCAACCATATCTCCAAGCTGTAAGCGAGGAGAGAGGGAAAACAAAGAGAGGCAGTGAGGCTCTGCAGGCAATGGCCTGTCCCTTTCCCACCTACCTTCAGGGTCCAGCCTAACGCTTAGAACCCATAGGTGCCCAAACCATCTGTTACACAACAAGTGTGTGTATGTGAACAATGGAGCCTTGAGTTCTAAGACTGCCTGAAGTATCTCAGACAGGCATTTACTGATGGTCTCTACCAGGTTTATGGGGTGTGAGCAGAGTCTTTTCCTGCCCACCCTGGGGCTCCCCAGTTAGGGTTTGCAAACCTGGCCCCAGCAGCACCGTCAGTCTCAAAAGTGGCCCACCTTGTGTTTCTGCTCTTCCTGGTTGTCCATCCTGGCTGTGCCAGCACCACTGAGGACAGGGCTTAGAGCAGGGGCTGATCCCTGCTCAGTTGTGCTCAGAGAGGCCTGAAGCTCAGGGCTCAGGCTCAGTTGGCTCTTCAGGCTGGAAGGAGAAGGCTGAGGACTATCCACAGAAAAGCCTAGAAATGAATGAAGTAGGGTGGAGCAAAAATGAGAACAGCAGTGAGGTCAGCCTCCTTCGCACTAGACTAGGAAGCTCATGCTGCAATTCGCTTTTGTGGAAAATGTGTGTGGTCTGTCACACAAGCCCTAGACACGACACCAAAGAAAACACTAGCTGTCCTGTATCAGAGACCAAGCGACCTCATGGCCTGGGTTGTATCTCAGGGGCTTCTTTGTGCTCCAGAGGAGTAAGCTATGAGGAAAACAAAGCCCCACAGTATTGGGAAGTCGATGTCAGGGACCCATGCCATCACCAGGCTGCCCACCTAATTCTAGGCCCATCTTACTAATGATTTATTAAAAAGCTAGGTTACATAAAGTCATTCATTTCACAATTCTGTCTTCTAGTTGCTGAACTCTTTACTAATGTGTAATTTTTTTCTGTTGGTCTTTCATACCAAAATAAGTAACTACTTTTTAACTTTCCTTATTAAAATAGCATTTGCTTTTGAATAGATTAGAATTTTTAGCCTATTTCCTAGGAGGCTAATGATGAAGCATAATTCATCTGGCAGTTTATAATAATGAAGTTTCTATAGAAGGCTGAGGCAGAGGCTCATGGATTTAAGACTAGCCTGGGATACAAAGTAACATTCTGTCAGAGAGAGAGAGAGAGAGAGAGAGAGAGAGAGAGAAAGAGAAAGGAAGAAAGGAAGGAAGGAAGGAAGGAAGGAAGGAAGGAAGGAAGGAAGGAAGGAAGGGAAACAAGCAAGAAAGATTCCATAATTTCTGATTATTAAATTTTAAAGATACATTAAAAATAGTATTTTTGTTGGAGACAGGGTCTCAGCCAGGTTGGCCTCAAAATCACTATGTAGTAATTCCACATCCTGCTGTTGACATATCCTAATGCTCAGATCACAGCCAGACAGCACTATGCTCTAAATGGTGTTTTACAGGAGAAATTTAAATGTTATTTAGAAAGTACTGAAGATGGAAGTTTACATTTCCAGGCGAAAAGTAACACTGAAATTACCACCATTTCTAACTATGTTCATTAAGTACCTGAGTTTTTAACATGTTTGCCAAGAAGCCCCACCAACTGGGCTTCCCCACGCCACCATGACTGCTTTCAAGGGAAGATTCTCAGGCTCTGTTGATTAGAGTCCTCAAGTGAAGTCCTCTGTAGTGACCAGTTTATACAACCAAACCTTGGTTACTTTACTTACAGCTCCTAAATGCATGAGGCCCCCACTCCCTGGACCAGCACAAGTGCCTGGGCAGGGCAGCTTCCGGTGTGGCATGCTGGAGCAGAGGAGGTCCTTATTTTCACATTGACAAAGTCAGAGATCTGCAAGGACCTTGCCTGCTGATGTTCTGACAGCATTCTGATAGAATTCTGCTGTCGAATATTTCACAGGTCATATTTTAAGTCAGGAGAAAACATTCATTGACATAGAGAACCTAGACAATGTTACTATATAAAAGTTTAACAACCAGTTTATTAAAATTTGCTTTATTACACATTTAATAGAAACATGCTAGATAACACTGATGATATAAAATTAAACCTGCCACCCAAATGTTCAATCTTTGTCTCTTTTGAAGGAATCAAGGTAGAGCCGACTTTTCTGTGCTTCCCTGAAGCATAGATTATTTTCTGTGTTGACTACATCCCAAAGATGTACTATTTAAAGCTTATGCTCCAAAGTCTTTGTCACTGGTAAGTTAGAATTGGAAAATGAGGTCCTTTTATGAAATTAAAATTCAGAGAAACTCCAGAAGCTATGAGTAACTTATACTCCACAACTAAACTGTTTAAAAAATATAACAGCTGTGATGTTTTACATTCAATTATGAAAATTTACCCATGTTCCTACTGTTCATCACACTTGAAGATAAGTCCAGAGCAAGTTCTAGTGGACAGTTACCAAAAAGTTTCTGGAATACAAAAGAATACACAGAGTACAGCCCAGCCTGTAATCTCAGTACTTTGTAAGCCAGCTGCACTACACAGCAAGGCCCTGTATTGAAATTGAACAAAACAGCACTCCCCACCCAAAAATAGAACAAATCCAAACCAAACCAAATCAGGCAAACCAAAAAAGGTTACCACAAAAAAGGCTGGAAGGATGGCTCTGATGGAAGGATGGTGAAAAGCATTTGCTGCTCTTCCAGTGGATCCAGGTTTGGTTCCTAGCACTCACATAGTGGCTCACAACCATTTGTAACACCAGTTTCAGAGGATCTGATGCCCTCTTCTGACCTCTGTGGGCATCAAGCATGCATGTAATACACATACATGCAGGCAAAATGATCACAAACATAAAATAAAAATAAATAACTCTTTTAAAGGGTTGCCACAAATTCCGACATTAATTTTTAGTAGCAGGAGGGGCCGACATGCAGAAATAGTGTACTTCAGGCACCATCAAATGATGCACTTCTAGGATGCCATTAAGGTCGGGAGTCAGTGAACAGCCAGTGTGAAGGAACTAGCCATTAAGGCAGGAGATGAAACTGCCAGCAAACAGCCCTTTCGTAAGTACTCTGTAGAGAAGGGAGACTCCATTTTGGGATGGGTTTGGTTCTATGGAGGTTAAGAATCACCACTTAATACTATCACTGTAGATATTTTCTATTTTATAAAAAGTTATCTCAAAATTTAGCACATAATCTTAAATGTACAAAGTGCCATTAAATTTTTTTTTTTACAGTTAAACCTGTTAAGAGAAAAAAATTCAAAATCATTCTTGAAATTACACTAACACAAACCATCATAATGTTAAATAATCTGGGTCTGGGACTTAGTGGAAAAATATTTATCTAGCACTTACAAGGTCCTCAATTTGACCTCCACCAAACACACACATGCATGCACACTTACACACACCACTACCACCATCACTACACCAAAAACTCTGGGGAGATATTTTATCAAGTAATTGGCAGTAAACATGTAATCTTCTAAATGTGGTTGTGGTATGTTCTCTACGCTCTTCTAGCACAGTATGGTTCTGTCTCTGGAGCCACCACTGTACATAGCAGAGTGTGTGTGTGCATGTTGAAGGGTGGCTAGCCAGGGAGCTTTCCAGACAAATCATGAAGTCAGAGCCACTGGGGTTCTCTGACTCAGTGTTCTTTGACCTAAAAGACAACTGGGCTAGCAGTTCTTCCTTTAAAAATCCTCTCAACTTTACTAAGACATTGTTTGTTTTGTAGACAGGATCAATAATATAGCTCAGGCTGCCCTCAGAACTCCTTGATCTTCCTGCTTCCATTTCCTCAGGACTGGACTTACAGGTGTAAGGGGCATATATGAGTGCACAGCTAAAGGGTTGTCTCTAGAACTCTTAAAGTACCATATATCAAGTTTTAGGCGCTAAGGAATCTGTTTCCTTAATCGACATTTCACTAAAGAGACACTCTTAAGTATCTGTAGAAACACACAAGGTCCTCTGTCAAACAGCCCAGAGAGTGAACAAGCCTTATCCTGAGCCACCCTACTGGAAAACTCATTCATTCCCAGCTTTTGATGAATATGCCTACTCTCAGAGAATCTTCAACTCTCCTACTGCAGCACGAAGGATCAATTTTTAGCTGAGGACAGGACTGAGTTCCTTGAAATGAAGAGGCATGAAGAGCAGTTGTGGCCCTCTGAGCTGTGCCTGTCTTCGAGAAGGTCCAGTTGCCCACCCAGTGCTGCACGGGCTATAGGTGGGGGTGGCATTTAACACTCTCAGAGCTGCAAGTCACAAACTTGTCTTCACAGGGCACTTAACACTGCAAACCGTCAACATTTCTGGCAGGTGGTCTATTTCTTAAAACTTCTCAAAATATGTGATAATTTTTGAAATGTTATTTAAAATACAATAATACACTTGTGTGCTTACCTTCATGTTTTCCTTCAAGAAATTGTTTTTGGTTATCTAACTAGAGGTGAAAGATGATGAAAAAGAACTTCACATTTAGAGGGAAAAGAAAGTGTACTTTTATTTCATACCTTAAGGTTCTCCTTTTAAAAATGCTTTAATAAAACAATCTTGAACATATTTGCCTAACAGTAGAGGAACATCTCAGATCCTACCCAGCAACACTGAAGGTCAAGTTGAAGGCTGAGAATAAGAGACACAAGGAAGAGAAACTGTGACTTGACTAGTAGACTGTTAATTTCAGAAAGAAAAACATCCCCACAGAACTGACTGCATAATGCAAAAAGTTAAATGTGAGTGTATTTGATGAGTTAGCAGATACTGTTTCTGGCATTACCATTGGACTGGTTCACAATTTACTTTTATGTAACAATAAGTGGTTTAACAACAAGTGGAAGATAGTGAAATGGTTAATAGTTCACCTCCCTATCTTGATAAGGAAATAAGGAAGACAAAGACACTCTTCCCCAGTGGTCACCTTGGCTTGAAGGTTCAGCAGTGCTAAGATAGTACTAGTGTTTCGGGACCCCCAGGCTAACTCCTCAGAGCCAGCAGCCCCCTGGCTCCTCCTCACAGCACCCTCAGGACAGCAGACACCAGCAGCCTCCTCAAAAAGTAGCCCAGGTTGCTCATTGTCCCTTCGCAGGCATGCCAGACCTACTACCAGGACTCAGGAGCCACTATCAACTGCCAGGTCAACCTGGAATGTCACAGTCCAGGCTCAGGCTCGTAGCGTCTCAGTGCTGTGACTGTGATGGCGTGTGGCTCTAAGCTTCACTACACATACTCGCTCACTAGGATCTTACAAGGAGAGGAAACCCGAAGAGGAGCTGATAAAGCTACAAAACCACTGAGGTAGCTCGATATTCCTTCAGGCTGTCAAGAAATCAGAATGAAGCAACTGAGAGTGGGCTGAAGGTGTGCTCCACTTGAGAGAAAGAGTAGCAGTTGCTGGAGCTGTACAAACTGACAACTAACAAAGACAAGACAAGCCCACTTGTGGGACTTCAGTAAGACTCATTACCTGAATGAGCAAGTAAATTCCAACAAAAAACTGGGGATCATATGATAACTTGTACAAGGTC